GGGGGGGGCTCCGGGGATGGAGTACAAAATAGAAAACAGGACACGAGAGATGCACGTTGAAAAATTATAAAGGATAATTTTGTTCTTACTGACATTCTCTTTCAACGAGATGCTGATGGTACTGATATTTCATAGCACTCGAGTTTTCAAAAGCAACCATTTTAGAGAAACGACCCAAAAAACATTCGAACACGTGTTCAAACTTTTTAAACGTATTGTCATCTTCCTTTACATGGGTCAGGGTAATTCAAAGATTAATTTAGTCGCTAACGTAGGAATAAAATTGTCCGTGCATTTGCTTCTTAACCCAGGAGACCACGAGTGACCAGTTAATTTTCAAGTCGCCTCTTATCTTGTATGTGGCGTCAACACTAGCCCCAAAGATACCAATTGCGCAACGTAGAGAGACGGCAACTTTAGTAACGGCTGAGCCACAGATTGTCGTGTTACGTATGAAAGCCAAGCGGAACAAATAAAACTCTTGAAATCAGAAAGCATGTCTTTATCTTATAATGAAAAGAAACCATCCTCGAGCAAGTGAGGAGAAAATCTACAGGCCGTTTATTCCATGGAACTTTAGAAATGCGCCGAAAGCTTTAACCAACATGTACGGCTCGCATCCTGTCTAGCAAATCAATAATAATTTGTTTGAACCTTACAAAGACAATGCATTGAAGAAATGTACAATTTCACTTCCCAGTAGAGAGCGTAGAATATAATCAATCCGCTGTTCCAACAACAGAAAGCTTTTTTACAGTCTGTGGGTTGATGACTCTCACGAGCGACAACCTCCCTATCTTCGATCAGGGGATGCATCTTTTGTCTTCAACTATGGTTAGTAACGATGTGTCTATCTAACAAAATAGATCCCTCGAAACCCAAGGTCTGATCTGCCTTACACTTAGCAAAACTTACATTCTACTTGGTTTCAGTTGTCATGAATCCTTTACCACTATTTTATTTAAGGCAGTATTCTTTTACCTTGAGCATGCTTTGAGTTTGAGCGTCAAATATGTGTAAACAATTAAGTATGAACCAGGCGTCTAAGAGAATTATTGTGAATTGGTTTTAGATCACACTTGAAAGCGATACCGAACGATAAACTAGTTGTGCGACGTATTATATAGTTTACTGTATGAAGGATACTTTTTGCTTCTTCTGGGGAGTAATAGGGATAGATGTTTAAAAATATTATGAAAACATCATAACAGATCAATAGTTATACACGAATTGTTTAAATAATAGGAAGTTATAAAGACACAATCCTCGGACCCTGGGGCCACAGATAATTCCAAAGTGGATTCCGCCTGGATTTTTATTTCATGTACCAAAAGCTTGTTTAACCATGACACTGACTCAAATGAAAATATGTTTTATTGCATACAAACCAGAAAATGGACATGTTACAGGAATTCTATGGTTTCTTATACAATAGATAAAAACTCCATCCCCACTTTTTCCCCCCGAATATCAACAAATCTGACAACCAAAGATTTATACAACAGATAATAAAAAAAAGTGTAAGCTTACCAACACAGAAAACAATAAATACCGCCAGTAAGAAGTCCAGGCGAACGAAAGTCATGTTGAATACTGCAGGAAAATTGTGAGTCTTTCCACTGACCGCCTGTTTCTTGGTGGCTACTACTAGGGCCGACAACAACAGTTGCCCAAGAACACACCAAGGCCCTGCTGTAAACGTTCTGAAATCCCGGCAGAGCAATTGCATCAGCACAACACCTTTTATTTTTATTATTGTCACAATTTCGAAGTTCACGTTGTTTGCTCTCTCTGATTCTCTGCAGTGTCTGAGCTTGAGCCTCTGACCAAAACCACCACTCAAAAATTGATTATGGGGGGGGGGGAATAATGAATAGAAGACAAGTACACACGCATGAGGTTTCATAAACCCTTATTGGTGGAAAAGACACACAAAAATCAATACTCAGATTTAAACATCTTTATTTTCTTTGGTGCATTGTCATTCTCAAGCGACACATAGAGAACTTGAACAGATAGAGGGCTACTAAAGGAGTTTACTTATCTATACATTACATATTATATTTGTGAAAGTCGTCACTTCGCCTCCTAAAACTTCCGAACCACTTAACTTTCGAATTTGAAAAAAAAAACCGGTGGTTCAGAATCATTTAAAGGTTGCACAGTTTTATTACGGAGTCTGAAGTCACTGTAGTTTAATTTTCAGTTTTTTCATTAGTTTCGTTTAGATCGAATCTTGGGAAAGTCCGTCTTCTAAGATGCCATTGTAGACAAGTGAGGTTTCCGCACTACTGATTCCACGCCTTTGAAATTCTGTGGTGTACAACCACGAAAGCAGAATAGAGAATCAATCTATACATCTCTCTACTATCTAGACCTTCTAATGTTTTGCATTTCTCAAGATTTATTGGTGGCCTTGTGGTTAGGCTACCGGACTCGTAATCGTGAGATTGCGGGTTCGGGGGTTCGAGCCTCAGCACGGTCTGACGCAGTATCCTTGGGACAGGCACTTTACACGAATTTCCCACTTGGCTCTGTCCTTTCGGAGATGGACACCATTTTACCATTTTCAAGATGTA